CAGTTGTTTTTTCTCACTTCACGTGTCCAGAAGCACAAGAGGGCTGTGAGTGTGTGTGTGTATATTCATTACCCGCAGAAAGAAAAAAAAAATAAACAAAACATCGCCCCAGTTGCATGAGCCCACACGTCCCTCTCATATTTCGTGTAGAGTTCGGCCTTCCCTTCAGCAGGGCAGCAGTTGCGTCAAATCCGTGCGGGAGGCACATCAATGCGGCCTCCATCGCGTGTGTGTGTAGGCAGCAAAAAAAGTAAGCAGGAGGGAAAAGTCTTTACGCGCGACAGTGCATGTAGAAAGCGACCGTTGGAGCAAAGAAGAACGGAGAAAAGAAAGTGGGTACAGATTACTCCGGCAAAGCACCAGCGGCAATAAGAGGGGAAAATAATTCTCTGTTTTTTTTTTTTAGTGTCTCCACGAAAAGGACCCGTTGGGGCAGCCGCACGCCCCTCTCCATGAGGAGTCACAAGTCCAGACTTCTTTTGGCTCAGAAGTGTGCCACAGCGCCCCGCAGCCGAAGAAGAGTCAACAGCATTGCCCGAGACACACGTCCACGCAAAGTGCCGTCACCCCTTCCCTCACCGGACGCCAAGCCAGCGTCTGCGTTCTGTGGTGGTGGAGGATGAGGCCGTGCAGGCACAGAAGCGTCGCCAGTGGTCAACTTCGGCTGCAACATCAACCGCCGTCGGCTGAGCGTCGCTGGCAACGCCGACTTCGGCGTGCGGCCCGGCAGCCGCCCCCGCAACACCGCCGCGACCGCCCTCTCGGCACCCCGCGGCGGAATCGTGCAGCTGCCGAGTTGCAGTCGCTGCAGATCACCCACGCCCAGCACGCGGCTGTACAACAGGACGTTCGCCACCGTCACGTTGGGGCTGCCCACAGCCGTGTGCGTGCCATCCATGCCGAAAAGGAAGTGTGTTATCCGGTGTGAGTTGAACAGAGCGCCACTGTACTTCTTTCCGTAAATCCTCTGCCTACCAACGTACAAAGACCAATCGTCCCAATCCGTTTGCAGCGCCACTTGAACTGCCGTGACTGGTGCCCACGCCTCAGCATGCTCCTCGGCAGCAGCATTATCAAGTTTGGCTTTCCACTTCCTCTTGCTCGTGTACGACAGGCCAAAGAGCACAGTGTTGGCTGCGTCAGTCATCCTCACGCCCAGCAAAGGAGTGTCGTCGTCCTTCTCCGGCACCGCGTGGATGATCACCGTCGCCGCGAGAGCGAACTTGTTGTTCGCAAAGTAGTACGGCTGGTTCTGCCCCAGTTTCCCCACGGGCCACTCCGCCCCGGCGCCGCTGAACGTCACACCCCCCGCCGCGCTCGACGCTGCCCCGTGAGCAGTTGCATTCACGCCGCGGTACTCGTCCTTCCACGCGGTCC